AGGGACAGAATGTTTAAAGGCTAAAGACCTAATAGCCACATAATAACACACACTTGCCTTTTAGAAATATATCATTTATTTCTGAGACTCTCACATGCATTCACAAGAGTCACAGCTGCAAAATGCTCTGTCCTCCACATCTGCCTGCTGAGCATCTTAGAGATAGATGCCTCACAGCTGCTGTTAACCACAGTGAGAAGACAATGCCGGTGCCAAGTGTGCTGAGCAGCCTGAAGATAATTCAAAGGTTTGAAGTAACTGTTATGCAGCAATAGATCACAAGTACAGATTTTATTTTTGAGATGCTCTTCTGTAATAAAACTCTAAAATTGGAAAGGCTTTGGACTTGGGCACCAGGAATAAGCTAGAGGATTTTGAGGTGAATATTAGCGAAGAAAGGAAAAAAAAAGAATAAAGAAACTCAAAGAAACTAGTAGTTGAATTTTAATGGTCTTTGAGATAATGTAGACATTTGGCTTGGTTCTTCCTGTCAGTCCCATGTTCCCCAGAAATAAGACTCAGACTCAAAATATATATACAAATACTTTGCCCATATAGCTAGGCTTTTTCTCTTACTAGATCATAACTTAAATTATCCCATTTATTTTAACCTATTTTCTGCCATTTGGCTGATTACCTGTGCTCAGGTACCATGCTTCCATCTCGTCACATTTTCCTGGGAAAGTCTTCTAGCACCTGGCTCTATCCCCATTCTTTCTGCCTCCTGGATGTTCTGCTTCCTATTTCCTGCCTAAGCCATAGGCCATCAGATTTATTATTGGCAAGTGCCACATCCATATAGACATAAGGATATTCTCTCTGCAAGATAGCTATAGGTGAGAACTTAAAGATAAAATGTTATTGGAAACTAGAAGTGGCATTTGTTAGAGACAGAAGGTTAGTGGCACTGCCACCTATAGTAATGTAGAAAATAGAAAGTGTGCATAATCAACTGGATGTTGTAGCCATAGTCATTTCCCTGAAGAGTGTTGAAGGTATTGCCTGATACCTTTTCAAATGGGAAAGAAAGAATGCTACAAAAAGAGAGTCTAGTTTGAAAATTTCCAGCTAAATGTGCAGATAATGCTAAAATAAAGAAATGGCTTCCATACAAGGACAATTCCAAGATGTTGCAAATACCAGTGATGGACTGAGAGTATGACTATAATACAATCCTTTATTTAGAACTCAAAACTGCCCATTGCAAGGAATCAAAAAAATCACTTAGACAAAAATAGTACTTCAGAGATGCACCATGTGTGCTTCAGCAGCTTCAGCAGAGGGGCAGTTTCAGTAGAGAACAGTTCATTTTTTAACAGATTTGTAGGTATAAATTTTGTGTAACAGAATAAACTGAATTTTAAAAGTATTACAAACAGAGATGGAGAAAGTATAACTTAAAGTGGCATTCAGACTTGCTAGAGTCTATTGTTAGAAATCAAAGTGACAAAGTATACAATTCCAAACATGTATTGCTTTAAATGGAAAAGGAATTAAGAGTCCAACAGGTGAACTCAAGAACTATAGAAAGTCCTTTCACACAGGAATAGACCTGAAAGCCCTAACCAAAGAAGTGCCAGCATGTATCTAACTGGGCTGAAGGATCCCGATGGGCCCTCCCATTCAGAGCTTCCTAACTTCCTTTTTAACTGATTATTTCAGCTATGCTGAGCCGATCCCACCAGTGTTTCTGGGAGTCCAAAAATCACTGATGTGAAAATGAACAGGAATTACACTTGAGAGGCTTACCTTAAAACATACCTGGGAGCTTTATCCACATTTACAATAGGTTTAGATGATCTGACTCTGGAGTGATGGTACCTGGGTTGAGTCTCCTACTATAGGAGAAAGTGAAAGTATTTTACTTTTGGGAGACGCGTAGATCATTGGAGACTGCTGAAAGGCAAACTAGGGTCATCTTTAAGATGATTCTCAAAACTCAGATCTTTTGGTATTTATGCCTTTGGTCAGTTCCTACACTTGGTAGGACAATATTATCTCTGTGACCAACAATCTATGTTGGAAATGATGATGTATGGCTTATGTCATACAAGATATTATGTCTTCCACCATCTTCTCTCTTGCTTTAGGGAACTACAGCTTACTAAGAGAGTCAAATGCCCCTATAAAAATTAGGTCCTCTCAATGGCCACATGAGCGAGCTCACTTGCAAGCAAATATGATATTTGCAGATCAGCCTTTAAATGCCTATAGTACAATGTCCTTGCTTATATTTCTAAGCCAGAGCCATACGTAGTTAGGTCACTCTTGGATTCTTTACTCATGGAAATGAAGTGAGACAACTTATGTTTGTTATATCAAGGTTCTACATTTTAAGGTAATTTCTCAAGAAGTAATAGGTTAGTATGCTAAGGCTATCTCTAGATGTTCCCAAAGACTACTGTGCTCAGAGAGTTGGATGGTTCTACTTTCAATGGAGAGGAGTAGGGAATCTGATTACCTTACTGAATCTACTAACTAGGTCACTAGACTTTATAAAAAGTCCCCTTTCAATATTTCATCTACTTCACTAAGACTTTTCTACAGAAGGCTCAGAAGATTGTAAAGGATCACAAATTGAACATCACAGCACTGAGTTTTGTTAAGTTAGAATTTAGAAGAACCAAGAATAATAATTATAAGCAAGTTACTTCCTCTTACCAAAGACTTCACGACCCATAAATGTCTTTTTTAGGGAATGTTGTACCAGGTATTGAACCCCAGGCCTCTGTATGCTAGGTAAGTACTCTACCACTGAGCTACACTCTCTACAATTTTTCTTAATTTTGTTTTGAGACAGTATCTTATTAGGTTGACCAGGTTGGCTTCAAACATGAAATTCTCCTGCTTCAGACTTCCAATTACCTGGAACTAAAGGTGTATGTCACCATGCAGTCAAAAATGCTTTTAAAGATGTGTTTTCACTTCAAAGATCTCATAAATACAATGCCACTGTGTTCCTAAAGCCTAAATAGTTTTATTTTCAGCCCAGATAGAAATAACCAAGCAACAACCACTGCTCACAGATCCACTAGTGCTGGAGTCTGGGTTGCCATTGGTCAATTTCTTTTTCCAGAATAGGGTATCAATCCCTGTTTTGAGTGAAGACATAGAAGCATAGAAGTCATTTCTTTTTTTTTTTGTTTTGTTTTGTTTTGTTTTTCGAGACAGGGTTTCTCTGTATAGCCCTGGCTGTCCTAGAACTCACTCTGTAGACTAGGCTGGCCTTGAACTCAGAAATCCACCTGCCTCTGCCTCCAGAGTGCTGGGATTAAAGGCATGTGCCACCACCGCCCAGCATAGAAGTCATTTCTTGAGAAATAAATGGAAGGAAAACAGAAATGTACACAGAATTGGAACAAAAATTATTTTCCCAGCATTCTATAGAATTGTTCTGAAGTTAAAAAGAAAAAAACAAACAAAACTCCCAACTTTCTAAAAAATTATACTTAACAAAAGCTGCACAGAGATTAAATATACATTAAGAGACATCAAACATTATTTAAAATCTACATCCCTTGATGTTTTTGTGGAGATCTGGAAATCCTAGCACTCTTATTTAAAGAAACAACCCATCTCTTTCTCCTTTCCTCCTCCCTGCCTCCACTTCTCTCAAAGATAGGATCTATGTAGCCCTGGTTGTCCTGGAACCCCTAAGTAGAAGGTACTAGACTCAAACTCAGAGATTCACTGGTCTCTGCCTCCCAAGTGCTGGAAAGCGTGCATCACGTGCCCACGTATTTTCCATTCTGTAACTCACTTTCCCTCTGCCCTACTAGACCAGAATGCCCCCTTTCCTGTCTCAAATACAATTTCTTTCTGTTACTGGAAAGACAATGATAGAAGGCAGAGAAGGGAAACGCCTATATTACCAGCAACCCACCAAAAATCTCTTACGTTTAAGATACAAAATGACCTTCTAAGGGTCATTGTCAGCATTAACTACAAATTGTGCTAAAATTAATAAAGCTTGGTGATCACTACAGTACTGACTCCTTTACATTTAACCTACAAATCCTCACAAAGGAGATATTGCTATTATTTCTATTTTACATAGTGTTTTTGGTTTGTTTTTAAAGTAGAAAAACAGAAAGATGAATTAATTTGTCCATGATTACAAAATTTAGCGGTGGCCTTAGGATTTGGGGATTCTAGTGGATAAAGTTCTAAAAACAGGCTTTGAAAACACCACAAAAAGATCTAGCACGGTCTGGGGCATTTTAACATTGCTTAATGTCTATCAGCCACTTTCCTTTCCCTTGGAGTCTGAATTTGAATGAATCTAGAGTGACTGGTTAGTGACTGGGAGTTGGAATCCCACTTCAAAAATATGATCTCCCTGCACTTCCCTTCACCTGACACAACTATTACCCAGAGATTCTGAATCCCTGGGAGGCCGGGATGCAAATAGACTTTGCAAACACACCAGGCAGAGTATTGCTTTGGATCGAAAAATGTTGCCTGTTTGCTCAGCCAGACTGAGACCCCAGGAGCCTAGAAGAACCATCACAGCCCTTTTGGGGGGCCTTATGGAAATCCCAGGAGGGCAGGTTCAGTGTGATAAAGAGCCTTGGGTCTTGGCCCCTAGAAAATCCTGGGGTTGTAATGGGGCGGGGACAATGTCTCTAGAGTGACAGTCCGCAGGGACCTCAGGCTAGTGGTTTTCGGTCAGGTTGACACCTCCAGGGAGGGCGTGGGGGAGGCGGGGCCCGTTGCCTGCTCAGTGAGGGGAGACTACGTTCGAGTTTCTCCTTCCGGGGGGGATGCTCAGCCCCGCGGGAAAACACAGAAAAAGGTCCTTGCCGCTTTAAGTGACTCAGGAAGTGAAAGGAGGCCGCTGACTGCGTGGGCAAAGTGGAACCGGGGTGGCGTGGGCCCGCGGCGGCCGCGATCTTGCCGGGCAACGGAGGCCGAGTTGCGCGGCGCAGGGGCCGACGGGGCGCGGGCTGCCGCGCCGGAAGTGGCGCGTGAGGGACGCGGCGCGGCGCGGCGCGCAGCGGAGAGACCGAGTGGGCGCCAGGCCCAGCGCTGACGGCTGGCCGGGCCCTCAGGCCTCAGCAGCTGCAGACTTGCGGTGCAGCCCAGCGGAGCGGGCGGCCGGCCAGTCCCCGGGGAGGCGGGCCTGCGTGAGGAGGCCCCGCGGTGAAGGCGGAGAGCGCGCAAGCCGCTAGGCCTCGGCCTCGTCCCTGCAGCCACATGGCCTCCGGAGTGGGCGCGGCCTGCGAGGAGCTGCCTCCCGACGGCACGTGTGACGAGTGCGAACCCGACGAGGCGCCCGGGGCGGAGGAGGTGTGCCGCGACTGCGGCTTCTGTTACTGCCGCCGCCACGCTGAAGCCCATCGCCAGAAGTTCCTCAGCCACCGCCTGGCCGCGTACGTCCATGGCGCCCAGGCCTGGACTCCGCCAGCCAGCGGTGACGACGCGCTCCCCGAAGACGTCGAGGCCAAAGGGGAGGCCGAGGGCGAGGTAGAGAGCGAGGTGGGGGAAGAAGAGAGCGAGTCGGAGGTAGACAGTGAGTCTGAAGAAGAGAGCGAGACAGAGGAAGACAGTGAGGATGAGAGTGATGAGAGCGAAGAAGACAGCGAAGAAGAGATGGAAGATGAGCAGGAAAGTGAGGCAGAGGAAGACAACCAAGAAGGAGAATCTGAGGCAGAAGGAGAAACTGAGGCAGAAAGCGAATTTGACCCCGAAATAGAGATGGAAGCGGAGAGAGTGGCCAAGAGGAAGTGTCCAGACCATGGGCTGGATTTGAGCACCTATTGCCAGGAAGATAGGCAGCTCATCTGTGTCCTGTGTCCAGTCATTGGGGCTCACCGGGGCCACCAGCTGTCTACGCTAGATGAAGCCTTCGAAGAACTGAGAGTGAGTATTGGGCATTCAAACATGTCTAAAGGGAATAGGACCCCCCCCCCCAATTTCGGATACCATAGCTGTGACCACATTCATTTTCATGTATCAACAAAATGAGTCGCCATGTTGGGAGCAGTGTCTAGTCTACCATTTTGGTTGAAGTTGGCAAGTTGTCGGTTCTCATCTGTGAAAATACAAGTACATAAAAAATCTTGGGTATACGTTCTGGCAATTTGCAAATTACTTCTCCCTGGATCTCAGACCATTCCTTGAGAATTGTGGCGCCGTTTAGGCCAATTTCTACATCATCACCACTGTTAGGATAAGTGTTTCGACTTAGGGCTCTTGCTATGGCAACTCTGCCCACCCGTAAACGTTAGAAACCATGATTTTTGACAAAACCAGGTAGCTTGTTCCAAAGACTCTGAAGGTGATGGTACAGTTGTTTTCGTGTGTGCCTTGAGTTGCCTTGGGTTTCTTGTTTTTTGAAACTTAGTAGGAAACAAGTATAGCTGGAAGCCTAGTTGGTATGGAGATGGAGGTTTTTATGTTCCCTGGCTAAACTTTGATGTATTGAGCTTGGACCTGTTTTTGGCCAGCAGTAGACATTTAGTAAATATTGATTGCATTTGGGTTGCCTTTTATGTATACAGTGAACGGCTACATTGATAAGAATAGTTTTTCTGTGTTCATTGAATGTTGGTAAACAAATGTCTTATGGCTTTTGTTTTCCTATGCAGTCTTATAACTGCCAGTCTCAAAATAACTACTATTTTGATAGTGAAAAAACTCCGTATTAATATTTCCTTTATTCCTACTTTTATTATGTGAAGTACACATTCAGAAATGTACAAAACACATTTAACAAATAGTTTAACAAATAACCACAAAGCAAACACTCATGAGACCTCCATCCAGATCAGAAATCGTTATCATTTATTATTACTAATTGTATTATTAGTAGTAGTATTAACTATTATTAGTAATATTGATACTTCATAACTTTTTCCAGTTTTACCTGTGTCTTGGTGGCCATTTTCCTGCCTTTAGGGCTAACTGTTTTCTTGGTTATCGTTGTGTCTACAGCATCTGTATGCAGATCTAAACTTGAATTGGCGTTATTTACATTATTGACGTGCAATGTTTTGAATTTTGAGTGAAGACATTTGTGTGATTCATCCATTGACTGACTGATATATTTTTCATTGGTGTATTGAATTCCATTTTATAGATATGCCAAAACTCACTGTGTACATGAAATCTGACTTGTTTTTAGCTTCTGGAATTTATTGCTTTTATAAACAGTTACTTAGCAACATGGCTTATGTCTATAATTCCAGCATTCCAGAGGTGAATGTAGTAGGATCAGAGTTCAGGTTCACTCTCAGTTCTCTAGTGAGTTTGAAGCCAGCCTATTATGTGAGATTCCTGTCTCAGAAACAAAATGCCACACCCCCTCAAAAAATAGTGCAGGTGTAAATATTCTTGGTCATGCCTCCTGATGCCCATTTTTCTATACTTAACTGGAAATAGTACTGTCTGCTTTCCAAGTGGTGGTTCTAGTATGCATGATTATGAAGACACTTCTTGTTGTCCTGAGTATTCATCACCACTTGGTATTAATAATATTTTTAATTTTTCTCAACATGGTAATTATGTAAGATGGTATATTGTGGTTTTAATTGCATTCCTTTGGTTTCTAAGTATCTTTTGTATTCCTTTTTTGTAAAGTACCATCAGGTCAAAAGAACAAACTCAGAGTTAGGGTATCTTTTTTCTCACTAACTTATATATATACACATACACATGTGTGTGTGTGTTTCTTTAGTGTTTATATTTATTTTGAATATCTTTTGTTTCATGGATTTCCTTTTCTAATATATGAATAGTACCACGAAGCTACTGCACAGAAAGTCAGTAAGTATATTTATCAGACGTTGATAAAGCTGAAGGTAAAGGGGAGGGCTTGGTATCTAGTCAGAACCTCCCTTAAGTGGTTCTGTGCAAAAATTCTCCAAGGTCTCAACCCTGGGAGTTCCGCTTCAGCCTCAACTTGAAGATTTTTTGTTATTCAGTCTGGGATGGCAGCTTATTTTCATGTACTTCTTCCTGTTGGCTGCTTGAATATCTTTAACTTGCAACTAAACTGTTGGGTGAGGAATGAGCACTGATACTCAGAGACCTCTCTGAGACAGAGAGGCAGAGTCTAGTCAAGGAACAAAGCTTTGTAGTTCTGGTATGTGGTGTAGAGATGAGAAATGCAAAAACCTGGCCTAAGGAGGCAGATGCTCACAGATGGACAGACAACATCTTAAGTGGGAAAATAAAACTGATTTTAATTAAAATGTAGTTTTGCTTTTTGTGGGTTTTTTTTTTTTAGTATACTTTTTTTGAGTATTTAGAGGAGCACTGTGAAGGGTTGTTTCTTAGTCTTTTGGATAAGATGAGGTGTAGAGGAGAGTTAACAGTCTGACACCATGTGGGAATTTAGAGAAAGAAAGTGGTTTTAGCCAGAGGCATGACCAGGATTGGTTTGTTTGAGAAAGTGGTATTTGAGACATGTTTTGAAAGATGGAAAGGGTTGAGTAGGTAGGTACGATGTTAGATGAGCTTTCTCTATCCTGCCATAGCAACAATATGTATACATTTATTGTATCACAAAATACTGGGTTTCATGTCAGTGTTAGATCTATTCCCTCTATGCTGTAAACGCTTACAAGTCTAGTAGTATGTATTAGTCATCATCGTATTCCCAGCACCTAACACCAGGCCTATCGGATAATAAACATACATGAAATACTTGTTAAATGTATGCTATGAAGTATAATAATTTTATCTAATTCCAGGGCATTGCTGAAGAAGTGATAAGGAGATTGTGTTGTAGTGTATCAATATTTATACTGGGACTAAGTTCAACTGTACATAAAATAATGGAATAACCTTAGCAGCCTTCATATAGCATGGATGCAAATTTCTTCCTGGTGTAAGCGAAGTCTAGATGTAGGCAGTGTAGGGTTAGAGGAAGCATGAAGTTGTATCTTGGTGCTTACCAGCTCCTCTCTGATATCTTTGTTACAAACCGAGATGGCCTCTGAAGGTCTAGCCAGCAGTTCTGACTTCTAAGATAACAGACATTGAAGTGAAAGATACACTCATCTATTTTCTCTCCTGAAGTGTTTATTCTGGTTTAGGTTTCATGGGGCAGACCTTAATCCCATGGTTTATCTAGTTGCAGGAGTGGATGAGAAATGATTTCTCCAAGCTATAATATGACAAGCTAAAAGGTGACACTTTGTTATTAAGGAGGAATGATAGGGTGAATCACAAAGTCTTTGCCCTGCTTATCTGTACAGTGCTACCTATGTCATATTGGCTAATTCAGTCAGCTTCTCTGAGTCTTGGTTTCTTCTAACATGAGCATGGTGTGTGCTGCTGTGCCCTGGCAGGACGTTGGATCTTTATGAACCCTGATAGGGTGTAAGTTGTGTTGAGTTTCAGATTTTGACTCAATACTCACTTAGAGTAATAAGTGAAAATCACAATTTTCACTGCAAAGAAAATAAGAGTTTATTCCAGAGCCAAGTATGAGTAACCATTGCTCAGGAACACAGATTTGGTTACCCTATTCAGGTTACCTTATTCTAACATGGTAACAGTTCCATGAAATTTTATAGTAACAGAACAAAGAAGGCCATAGATAAAGGTGTCTTAAAAATCCATTGATGGGGATATAAGGTGCACAGGTTACAGCAAAGTGGGGACATTTCCACTATAGACCTCAGGTGCTATTTGATAATATTCTTAGCCTTTGGATTTGTAGAAATTAGAGTTTGTAAATTCCAAAAAAGATCTTCCCTGATAGTCACAAAGACGCTAGTTTAAACAGAGAGGTGGGCAATAAATAGTTATTTAAGGGGCTGAAGATAGCACAAAATAATTTGGCTTGAAAATAGCAACATTCACGTTTTCCATCATCTCAGAAGTTCTAATGAGACATCAGCCTCGTAGGGTATTTAACAGAGTTGAAGGTTTTTTAGTGGTTTTGTTTGTCTGTTTCATTTCATAGTAGTAAGTAAAAAGAGTATGAATTCAATTCTGACACCAGAATGTATACTTTTCCTGTTTTATTTCCTATTTTATTCTATGTGAATTCTCAGTTATTCTTCCACTCATTTATGAGTTCTACATTTCACATTTTTCTGTTGATTAGTTACTTGATGCATAAATAAATACTTTCAAACTATTTTCTCATCCCTCAGATTTTCTAATCTGCAGAACAAGTAGCTTTCTCGATTTTCTTTCTCTTCAGCAGTTTTTTAGTTTATTATCTGATATTTTAGCTGTTGCTGTGTATTCAGTTAGTAACAATTACAGTGGTGACAAAAATGTGTGGAGAACTGTCTATGTCCTACGGTCAGTACTGTAAACTTCATACACCCTTGTCATTTAACTTTTTCCACAATTTTATAACATAAATTATTAAGCTGCATTTATGTTATTTGAAATTAATTGTGTTATCTGAAGAAAGGTTTTTTTTTAGATCTCTTCATTCATTCAGCACATATTTGTTGAAATTCTAAAATTTTCTAGGTGAAAGTTTATGTTGAAATATTTTAGCTATCAATTTGTGTTTATATCTTTATTTTTGAAATTTTAAAACAGGGTCTTTTTATGGAGTCCTTGCATGTATGTAGTCTAGCTTCATACTTGAGACATCTCCCGTCTCAGGCCTCCAAGTTCTGAGATTGATTATAGGTGTGTGCCACCATGCATCCCCAGTTTACCTGTCAATTTAAATGTGTAGGAGGAAGCACACTTTTCCAAACTTTTAGGGAGTTCCTGAGCAAGAGTTTATGGACATCAGCTACAGAGAGCCTCTCATTTTATCATCGCTAAGGTCAGTCATGGAAGGCTCTGGGGACTTTAGCAGTTCAAGTGGAGGGAATGGGTGTAAAGGGTGTAGGATGAAACAGACTTGCTGAAATGGTTGAAAGAATGCTGGCGAATAAGGA